GTGGGCCTCTCACTGCTGTGGCCTCTCCCGTTGCGGAGCACAGGCCCCGGACGTGCAGGCTCAGCGGCCATGGCTCACGGGCCCAGCCGCTTCGCGGCACGTGAGATCCTCCCGGACCGGGGCACAAACCCGTGTCCCCTGCATCGGCAGGCGGACTCTCAACCACTGCGCCACCAGGGAAGCCCAGTCATTTAGTTTTTTTCTTTATGATCTGTTGGTCCTTGTTCAAATATAGTTTAGGATCTGTCAAAAAATAAGCCAGTTTTTGGGAAATCAATCTCAGGTTTGATGTGACTGTTATTATCTTACTTCATTTAGTTAAATTGGCTTTAATTGAAAAAGTAACATTTTTAGAATTAGAGAAAGCTATTATACATTTTCTCCTCAGAGGAAACTTGATTGAATTGACCTCACTTCACTTGAATAAGAACAGGTTGAACCTTCTGCCTTTCTGTATTAAATGACATCTGGTGAGCTGTATGCTCTTTACATCCTCATAAAGTCCTTCACAGGAGGCCTTGAAGGACATGACTAAGTCACTGTCATCCTGGAGAACTTTCTTGCTGGAGGTATTTCTGCTACTGTTAATTGGAATAGGATGCATCGGGTGCTTTATGAAATTCACGTAAAATCTGTATCAGTACATTTCATGGATAAACGTTTGGAAAAATAATAATGCTGTCTGATGATGAGATTCTAAGTTTCTCAGCTGTTCAGAATAACCATTAAGTTATCAAAGAAGTTTGGGATTATCAAAGAAACCCTCACATTTATCAAGAGGAGTTAAAAATGCATGATAAAATCTTTACGATTTTAATTTTATTCACTAGAAGAAAAGAGCATCCCGTGGCTGATGAGATTGGGGGGATTAGAAAGGAAGGGTGGGAAATGGAAAAAAAAGAAATGAGTGCGTGGCAGTCAAGTGGTGAATCCAAGGAGAAGGGAGCTGTGTTGCTGACGTGACGAGAGGGCTGCACGCGTCTCTCACTCCTGAGAATCGCTGTGTTGTAGCCATAATCGATAACTGGGGACATGTGTCCGAGTCACCAGTGAACATGAGTTACGTTCTCTAACCTGTGTTTACTAAGGCAGGGAAATACATACTAAACTTATAAATATTTCCATTACAATAATTGTACTAAAAATACGCACAGCTGACCACTACCATTGCACCGCACTCCATACCTGGCTGTCCAGAGGACTGAATTGTTCCTGTGAGATTTTGAATCTTCTTACTGAGGAGAATATGTACATTTTTTCACAGGTTGTGCATATTGTTTGCATATGTTCTTATCATAGCAGTACACTTCAGACAGACTTCTGAGTACTGGTTTAATAGTTTGGGCTGGAAGGGTGGCAGTTACCTTTCACGCCTGTAAATGCATCAGCACTTGAACTGGTGGCCATACCTAACTTGAGTGCGGTGCAGCTCTCAGGGCCTCTCTTGTTTGCCTCCCCAGGAGAGGTTCTGGTGTTCCTGGACAGCCACTGTGAGGTGAATGTGATGTGGCTGCAGCCCCTGCTGGCTGCCATCCGGGAGGACCGGCAAATGGTGGTGTGCCCGGTGATCGACATCATCAGCGCTGACACGCTGGCCTATAGCTCGTCCCCTGTGGTGCGGGGAGGATTCAACTGGGGGCTGCACTTCAAATGGGACCTTGTTCCCCTTTCTGAGCTCGGAGGAACAGACGGAGCTACTGCACCAATAAAGTAAGATTTCTCCTGTATGTGTGAAAAATTCCCAAAAGAGGAAACATACTCAAAGATAATTCCTTTTTCTTTGCAGGAAGCAGTAGTGTTGGCTTAACTTGTTTGTCCGTTAAAAAATTTTGAGTGCTTACTGAATTTTACGTACTCTGCCAAGTCATAAGGAAAGATTTATGAAGAAGAGATTGTCCAGGCCCTCAAGGATTTATATCTTAGTGAGAAAGTCAGAAGAAGTCAACAGTATCCTGGGATAATTGTTGCATAGGATAGCCTGGGAGGACCCCCTGTGCAACACATCTTCAGTTCTTTGCTAGTGTGAGTGGTACTGTGAAGAACATTTAATACATAAGCCTTTTCTATAATTAGGGTTTTAGGATGGATTCCCACTTGTACAATTACTGAGTCATCGTATGTGAATTATTTTCAATTTTCATCCATATTCTCTCATATTATAAATCTCTTATATGTTATTTCTCATTTTTGTTTTCTTTTAAATTTCTCATGTAAATTTCAGAGACATTTGTCTGTATTTGTACTTTTTAAAGTTCTTAGACCTACTCTTTCTTTTAAACTTTTTTAACACAGCTTTTAAAAATATATATATTTATTTATTATTTGGCTGCATTGGGTCTTAGTTGCAGCATGAGGGATCTTTGTTGCGGCATGCGGGCTCCAGAGCATGTGGGCTCAGTAGTTGCAGCACACAGGCTCTCTAGTTGTGGCACACGGGTTCCAGAGCGCCTGGGCTCAGTAGTAGAGGCATGCAGGCTCTCTAGTTGTGGCGCACCGGCTCTAGAGCATACAGGCTCAGTAGTTGTGGTGTGCGGGCTTAGTTGTCCCACGGCATGTGGGATCTTAGTTCCCCAACCAGGGATCAAACCCACATCCCCTGCACTGGAAGGTGGATTCTTAACCACTGGACTACCAGGGAAGTCCCTTTTTTAAACTTTTTTTACTGTAAAAATAGCATATGTAAAAAGTATATATGTATATATGCATACGATTTAATAAATGATTATAGTGTGAACACTGTGAAACTACCACCAAGTTAAGAAATAGCACCCACATGCCCCCTGTATACCCCTCCCTGGTCACAGCCCCTGCCCTTGTCCTTAGAAGTGTCATTACCCTGACCCACTCATCATTTCCCTGCTCTCCTGGAGAGTTGTACCTCCTATGTATGATTTCTAAGTGATGTAATGTAGTCCAGTTCCCTGCTCTTGGACTTCATGTAAATGAAGCCATGGGACTCATCACTGTCTTCTTTTAGTCAATATTGCTTTAAAAGGCTCTGTGCTGCATTATATAGTTGATTCATTTTTATTGTTGTATAATATTCTGTTATACTGATGTATCATAACATTTATCCAGTTTACTGTGGGCAGGGCATTTGGGTTGTTTTCAGTGGTTTTTTTCCACCTTACAAATAGTGCTGTTGCCAGCATTCTTATTCATGGCTTCTAGCTTACAGGAGTGAAACTGCCCAGTCATAGGCGTGCCTGTCTTCACCTTTAGTTGATAACGTTTTCCCCACACCTCAGGCGACTAGAATGCAATTGGCTCCTCAGCTAGCCTTTGGGTACTTGCCAGCTTCCTTTCATCCGAACCAGACTTGGAGGGGAGGCTGACAGAGAGCTGGGCCAGCTCAGGTGGCTGAGGTGCTCTCCTGGCAGGGTGGGGTTGTCTTCTGTTCTCAGGCTTTGTGAGAGAACCTGTTGCAGTTCTTTGTGAAGTCCATGAAAAAAGCACACCCAGGCCTTCCCTGATGGCGCAGTGGTTGAGAGTCCGCCTGCCGATGCAGGGGACACGGGTTCATGCCCCGGTCCGGGAGGATCCCACATGCCGCGGAGCGGCTGGGCCCATGAGCCTGCGCGTCCGGAGCCTGTGCTCCGCAAAGGGAGAGGCAGCAACAGTGAGAGGCCCGCGTACCGCAAAAAAAAAAACAAAAAACAAAACACACCTAGCTCTCAGGTGTCTTCTAGTCTTCACATGCTTGTAACCCTTCTTCCTACCAGGGCTTTCAGTGCGGGTATCTACCCACCCTCTGCTCCCCAGCCTTGCAGGTGGGAGTTAGATGCTGGAGCACATCTCTCAGGAGAGCAGGGCTGCACCTGGGGGCTGTCGCTCTGTGTTTCTGGGCTCCACGGCTTCACGTACTGTGATTGGAGGCAGACAGGAGCACTGACCCCATTTTCAGCTTCCCTTTGCCAGCGCAAGAAGAAAGTTCCTCGGACTGTTGTTACATGTGTTCTCATTCGTAGTTGTAGGGCAGTGGCCAGTTTTTGCCTATTTCATCATCTTCATGGGTATTTGTTTTTCATTGTTTAATTTTTAATATTTTTAATCAAAAACATATATTCACGGTAGTAAATCAAACAGTACAGAACAACTTGGGATGAGCAGTGGCTGTGGCTCTAACCCTCCCCATTCTCAGTCCTTCTCCCCAGAGGCAAATTCTTTTACCCACTTTTAGTTTTGGTCTCTTCCGTTTCTTACTTCCTGAACTCTAAATTATATGCATAGTCCTCTTTTCAACATAAAACCAACTATAGACCCTCTCTGTTGGAAAAATGAAGATTTAGCTCATTTACATCACTCCCATGTTCCCTTTATTGTTGTAGGATGACTTTTTAGTTACTGTATTGGTTCCTTTTGATACTTAAAAAAAAAAAAATCTGTTTCTTGTTCCGCTGACTTTTTTTTTTTGGCTGTGTTGGGTCTTTGTTGCTGCGCGTGGGCTCTCTCTAGCTGCAACTAGCGGGGGCCCCTCCTCACTGTGGTGCACGGGCTTCTCATTGCGGTGGCTTCTCTTGTTGTAGAGCACGGGCTCTAGGTGCACGGGCTTCAGTAGTTGTGTAACGCAGGCTCAGTAGTTGTGGCATGCAAGCTCAGCAGTTGTGGCTTGCAGGCTTCAGAGTAGCAGGCTCAGTAGTTGTGGCTCATGGGCTTAGTTGCTCCGCGCCATGTGGGATCTTCCCAGACCAGGGCTTGAACCCATGTCGCCTGCATTGGCAGGCAGATTCCCAACCACTGCGCCACCAGGGAAGCCCTGTTTTGTTGACTTGACAGCATCATTTGACATTCTTCCTTGAACAGTGAGGCTATGAGCACCGCTTTCTCCTTTTTTCCACTTTTTCTCCCCTTTCGGTTGTAAGCTGTTTCACCTTTATTATATCAGGGTTGCTAACTTCTTGAGTTGGATGTTCAGATTTTTAAAATTTTCAGCCTTTTTTCTTTTCTAATACATGTATTTAAGATGATAAATTTTCTTCTAATCATGGGTTTAGCTGCATCCCACAAACTGTGATATATCATTTTTTATTGTCATTTATTTCAAAACATTTTCATTGTTATGTCTTCTCTGACCTGTAGGTTATTTAGCAGGGCATTTATTATTTTACAGGCATACGGAAACTTTACGGTCATTTAATCCTAGCTTACACTGTGGTCAGAATTTGTATTTTCTGCAGTTGTTAAAGATGAGATGCTGTATTCGTTGGGTCAAGTTTATTGTGTTGTTCAAATATTCTGTATTTTTATTAATTTTTAATTCACATGTTCTGTCAGTTATTGAAAATGGTATATTAATTTCCCACTACAATTGTGTGTCTGTTTCTCCTTGTAGTTCTTTATATATTTTCTTCATATATTTTGAGGCTGTGTTAATAGATGTGTGACAGTTTAGAATTATTAAATCTTCTGGTGATGAAGCCATTTATCATTATGATTGTATTTCATTCTGTGCTTCTAGAATAGTGTCCCTCCTGCTGTCAGTCTTCCTTTGTTCATATGTTATATGTGTCCCTGTAAGCAGCATGTAGTTGCTTTTGTTTTGTTTTTAAGCCTGTGTGGAAAACTGTCTTTTAATTAGGGCTTAGTTGATTACATTCAGTAATACTACTTACATTTTTGTGTTTATGATTACAGTGGTACTATTTGCTTTCTATCTATTCTATGTTCTTTTTTCTCTGCTCTTACTTGCTTTTGGCCTGAATTCCAATTATTCTGTTCCCAGCTGCCACCCAATATTAGACATTATAGCTTCTTACCTACTGTTCTGTTAGTGGTTACCTTAGAAAGTACAGCCTTTATACTTGACATATCAGTGTGTAATATAGATTGGTATTTTCTCCAAACAATGCAAGGATACCAGAATGTTCATACTCCAGTTATCCCCTGTCAAGTTATGTTGCTGGAATGTACACGTGTGTTTGGGGGGGGGGTGGTGTGGTGTATGTTTTTGTACTTTTGGGCCATGCCGCACGGCTTGCAGGATCTTAGTTCCCTACCCAGGGATTCATCCCGGGCCCCCTGCAGTGGAAGCTCGGAGTCCTAACCATTGGACTGCCAGGGAAGTCCCACATATGTATTTTTTTTAACCTACAAGACTTTTTTATGTAACCATTATTCATTTACGTTTACCCATATATTTCCCCTTTTATGTTACTTTTTATCCTTTCTGCATCTGCAAGCTTCCATCTAGGATTTATTTTCATTTTGACTAAAGAACACATTTTAGTATTTGTTTTGGTTGGACCTTCAGGTGATTGATTATTCCTCTCTTTCTGAAAATGTCTTTGTTTCACATTTTGTGTGTGTGTGTGTGCAGAAGGATTCACACTTATTGGTTCAACTACAGTACCTAACATTTGCTAAACATGTATTTCACACTAATTGGTCACATTTCCACAGGTTGTCAGTTCACAGAAAAGGGCCCATCCCTTGCCAGATGGCAGGGTAGGAGGTACAGAGGGCCTGGGTAGCAGAGCCCGCCAGCTATCACTTGGTCATGCAGGATTGATGGAGCCAGGTTGGCGGGCAGCCCTTGGCCGGCCCTTTGGGGACAGGGGTTCAGAGATATCCTGTTTACTCGACTCCTATACAGGACTGTGGGTAGAGGTGGGCCTCAGGTAGGTAGCCCAGGGGTAGGCTCATGGATGCACGTGCCACCAAAGCTCCTGAAGGTGGGGTCATGGGAGTTGGTGTTCCCTGTGCCTTGGATCACAGGAAGGAAATGGAGGCCTCTTCAAGGGGTTGTAGCCCTAGGCTGGACAGGTGGGAAGGACTCCCCAGACATGGTACAGACATTACAACGCAGACGCAAGCCCCTACAGCAGGCCTGGGATGGCAACACAGACAAAAACACCAACACCCCAGGGCAGGTGGGGTTTCTTTCCTGACAGAAACGTGGAAGTAGAGCAGGAGTTACAGTATTCTTTTCCCACAAGCTTCCTCAGAGAGGAATAGACCAGGACGTCACTCAAGAGGTTTTTTTTTTTTTTCCTTTTCGTGGAAATTTGAGTCAGCAATATTATCACCTATTGTAAGATATTTCAGAGAAAGAAAACAGTGGTCACCAAAGGGCAAAAATGACCCCTGGCTGGCAGGGCTGGCTCCAGGATTTGGAAGGCCAGCCTCCACCAGTAAGACAGCTTTTTTCTTGGGCTCGAAGCAAGCTCTGGCCTGATTCACAGGCTGCCACTGAATCCTGAGCAGGCTGTGGCTCAGTGGGGACTGGATTAGGCAGAGGGACCAGGCACCTTGTGAGCCGGTAGAGCCGGGGTCACTGTGCCTCATGTTGCAGGACAGCCGGAAGTCTTCAGGTCTTAAGGGAGCCCAGCTGTGGCCAAAGAGGAAGCCCCAGCGTGTTCTCTGGGGCCCCTGCCTCTGAGGTAACAGTCCAGGTCTGGCTCCCAAGACCAGAAAAGAAGCCGTTGCTTGTGGTAGCCAGGAGAGGGGTTTCTGGGGACTCTGTAATTAAATACACATCCCTGAGTTGTGGCCCTAGAAACCCTTGCCTCAAGGCTAATCAGTTTCCAGCACCTGGTGGAATGATTGCCGTTTCTTATCCTGAGACACAGATAAAACATCATTTCACAGACACTGGACATAGATGCTTCAAGCTGAGGGAAAAAGGAGGAATGATCAACTGCAAAGGCAGAGAGGGGAGTGCAGGGGGACTCTCATGGATCAAGTTGGGGAAAGTAAGAGTGGTGGGGTTTTTGTTTAGTTTTTATTTTTTTATTTATTTTATTTTTTTACTTTAAAAAAATCAAAGAAAAATTTGAAGTTTAATAAAAGGGCTGGTTTTTTGTTTGTTTCACCATTACTTTGAAGAATAATTTTACTTGATATTCAGTTCTAGACTGGCAGGTATATTCTTTCAGGACTTTGAAGGTATCATTCAAGAACCTTCGGGCTTCCACTGTTTCTGGTGAGAAGCCAACAACTGTCTAATTTTTTTTTCTTTTGAAGGTAATCTCTCATTGGCTGCTGACTTTTTTTTTTTCTGTCTTTGTCAGAAATGTTTTTCAGATGCATAAATTTGGTTTATTTATTGATAGCATCTAATTATCTGCCAAATTCTCAGTCTTGTCTTTTATGCTTGAACATATTGAACAGTTAGTCTCTGCCTGATAACTCCGTTATTTGAAACCCCTGCACATCTGTTTCTGTTGTAGATTGTTTCTCTTATTTTTTTCTTTCATGTGATTTATCTTCCTGATTGCCTGGTTATTTGTTAGTTTGCTTATTTTTGTTTAATGCTGGACATTGTATATGAAAAATTATGGAGGTACATTCATCCTGGGGCGGTGTTTTCTCCTGCAGAGACTCTGGCTTCTCTTCTGGGAGGCCGCTCAGAACACTAGACGCCACGCCCCCGGTGCGGTTCGGCCAGTGAGGTCACTGGAAGCCGCCTCAGGCTCTGGGGGGCCCATCCACGTCAGTTCTCAGGAACACAGCAGTTCTCGACTGTGGCAGGACTGACCTTTAGGGCCAGAGAGCTCTCCGTTGCGGGTGCTGCCCTGTGCGTTGCAGGGTGTTCAGCATACCTGGCCTCGACCCATCAGATGCCAGTAGCACCCCTCCCCCACGGCTGTGACAGCTAAAAATGTCTCGGGGAACCACTGGTCTAACACATGTTTGAGTCCAATTCAAAGTGAGACGTTTGTCTGCTCTCTCCTTGGCAGGCCCTGGAGCCCAGTTTTTAATCCCAGTGGCTCTGTGAGACTGTCGAAGGAATTAAATAATTCAGGTGGATTTCTGTCAACAGTAGTTATAATCAATTTTTAAAAGTACTTGTGATACTTAGAAAAGTAGCCTTCATTTGCCAGGGACTGCGATCTGGAAAATTAAGTTATGGGGCCCAGCTCATTCCCTCATAAATCAGACAAAATGTTTCATAATAGTTAATCTAGTTTCTATTAGTAATGTTCTAAAGCTGCACTGAATTTTTTAAAACAAGAACGGTAGATAATTGACTATAGAATTGATACAATAATTGTTTTCCTTTTCTAGGTCACCTACAATGGCTGGAGGATTGTTTGCCATGAACAGAAACTATTTCAGTGAACTTGGACAGTATGACAGTGGCATGGATATCTGGGGAGGAGAAAATTTAGAAATATCATTTCGGGTAAATTTGTTTTGCATGCTTGATTATTAACTGTGTGCAAGGAATATAATTTTCATCCATGATCCCATATTTTCTGTAAATTCTCTTTGACTGTCTTTATTAACAAATTGTCCTTAATGAATACTACTTTACCAAAATCTATAATGTGGATAATACCCATTCAAAATTTCAAAAGCCTATAAGAAACCTTGCATTTATTTTGTAAGAATTTAAAAGTGATAGTTGTAATGAATAGTTGGGTATGTATTAAGAAGTCTTCATGCGCATTTAATCTAGAGTTTTGTTCTTTCTTTGTCCATTTGTTAATCTTATTTGATAACCCTAGATATATATAGTTGGGGTCATCAGATTTTCCTGACTGTGCGAGCCCATCCTGGTTCGTACCTGATCTCCTGGAGAGATTATTAATAGCTCCTCATTTCACTTTCAGGAGTAGCCCACCTGATGAGATAAATGATATCAACACCTGCGTATAGATTACTGAACCCTTTATATATACCTCTAGCTGCTAAGGTTGGGCAGATGACAGCTGTGGGTGGGGTCTGTGGCTCAGCTCTGGTGATAAGACGGTCTTTGGAAAAGGCAGAAAGAGGGCAAGGGGAGAATTCAGATTTCTCTCTCTCAGCAGAGGGCCCCACTCCCTGCCTCCCATCTCCCGGTCTGCGTAACAGATTCCCCCCCATTCAGATACCCTAATACCTTGTGCATATGCCATTTCGTATTTTTGCAAATGTATTTTCCTACTTAATCTTTAGAATTTGAAAGTTGCAAGGTATAATAGATATTATTAGTTCAGTCTTTGTAGATAAGGTAATTGAGCCTCATAAAAATTGAAATAACTATATAAAGTAACTCAGTCAAGGGCAAAATTTAGACCAGAACTAAGATCTGAATCTTAATCTAGTTATTCTGCATATTTTATAAAAAAAATTTTTTTTTAAAAAATGGTGTGTGTACATTTGTATGTGTTTCATGAGAAAGTGCCTGTAGACCTGAGATTAGAGGATTGATGAGTAAGCATATTCTTTGTCCCTAAGTCCTGAAGGTCAACTTCCTTGATCTGTTCAAACAACATGTATGGTAAGTACAATTTTAGACACAGGGTAGTAAAAGAATATTACATTGTTTTAGAGTTTTGTTTCTTTTTAATCGTAAAGACAGATAATTTTTTAAAATACACACTTTGACTTTATTTTTATTTGAATAGTTATATCTAATAAGATAAAACATCTTGCAAGGTTTCACAAACACCTGTTTCATGAAAATTCGTACATCGATTTCACAGCACTGTGAGGAACCATTAACACATGTTCTGCTTCTGACCAGATCTGGATGTGTGGAGGTAAGCTCTTCATCATCCCTTGCTCTAGAGTTGGACACATTTTCCGGAAAAGGCGACCATATGGTTCTCCAGAGGGCCAGGACACCATGACACACAACTCCTTGCGGCTGGCACATGTTTGGTTGGATGAATATAAGGTGAGATTAAATCTCTCACCGAGAAGGATGGATGATAAGGCTAGTAACTCCATTGGCTTTGGTTGCTTTTCTCTCTTGCCTATTTCTGTTGAATGACCTTTGCTTTAGGGCCATCTCTTTCTGGGTTTCTTTTCTCTCTTCTCTTCACCCAGTCCTTCACTCATTTTTGTTGTGACTCCTTTTTAAATTTTCCAAGCATCTAGTCTGTGAGAGGTAGTATAGCCAGCACCAGAAGAAACTGTTTTTCAGTTTCTTTGTCCTCCTGTCCCCTCCTGTGACTCCCACAGAACCTGGCTCCTCTTCTGCTCACTGGGCTTTGCTCTGACCCAGTCCCCCTGCTTCCCCTGTCAAGACCCTGCACACATTGTATTCCTTCCCACCTCCTCTTCTGCCATATGCAACTCTCAGTATTTTCTTTGTAGTGGCTTTTTTGAGGTGTGATTCATTTAAACAAAAAAATCTATTCTCTTATTTTTCATTTTTCTTTTTTAAATTCAGGAGCAGTATTTTTCCTTAAGACCTGATCTGAGAACCAGAAGCTATGGAAATATCAGTGAGCGTGTTGAACTGAGGAAGAGGTTGAACTGTAAATCATTTAAATGGTATTTGGATAATATTTACCCAGAGATGCAGATATCTGGGCCCAATGCCAAACCCCAGCAACCCATTTTTGTCAATAGAGGGCCAAAACGCCCCAAAGTCCTCCAACGTGGAAGGGTAAGAAAGTGATCCTAGCAAGATGTATCATTAAATGTTGTGTGATATAATAAATGACATTGTAGACTTAAAATATTTAAGGATAGCCCCTGGCTTGCCTTCCATTATATTCTTTTTAGGAGAATTTCCTCTACTCAGGTGTAAGACCTTAGAAATTTTGATATCTTTGCTGTTTATATTAAGATCCTTTACCTGCCAGTGTTAAAGAGAACATGGCTTCTCTAAGTTATGTGCTGGCTTCCAAGAGGATAGCTATAAATGTGAATATACAAATAAAGGCAATGTGAGTGAGTGTAAAATTCACTTGTTAGAGACCAGTCCAAAAAGGAAAACAAAGGAGAAATGGGGCAGCTGTATACTGCTGGCCTCAGCTCTGGAACTGAGTGCAGACAGGAAGTGGAAAATGGTGGTCAGGGTCTAAGTGGTGGTACCAAGTCAGGTTTTACACCCGATGTCCTGAGCAGTCATCTGAGCTTAGCAGAAACCCATTGATCAACCACAATTCTTTAGATATTCCCTTTTGGTTCTTATAAAATTTCTTCAGTTTTATAATATCACTTCAACTTTAGATGTCTAGCCATAAAATCATACCTTTTTCTTGAATCATTTCTTAGAATTTGCTTCCTGAAAGTGTAGATATTGTAATTGTTGCCCGAATTTCCCTTTTGTGTTATAAAGAAGGCATCCCTCTCCTGGTTCTTTCACAATGCCAGCAATTCTTAAGTGGCTAGAATTAAGCCTAGAGCTTTCTCCTATCTTGTTGTTCTCGCTATCTTATAAAAGTCATCAAGGTGTTTATTATTAGGTGTTTTCTCTTTAAGTAAAAATAGGTACCAGTGTATGTCCATATAGTTGAAATCCCTTACCATTATTATTTTTGCCTTGCATATCTAATCACATTTAATATTTAAACTAATCGTTTTACTTAGACTAGATACTCTTTGCTTCTTTTATGTATCTCACCTTTGGCATTCCTATGGCATTTTTAATCTGTTTATCTCCAGTTAGGTATGTATATTATATTTAATTATGTACTGTCTGTTTGTACCTTTTGTTCTTATTTCCTGAGTTTCATTTTAAGGTTCTTCAGTGGAGAGACGGTATTTAATTTCCTTCCTCCCCTATAGTAGATTAGTAAACTTGTATCTTTAGGTAGAATTTCTACTTGACACTGCCTGCATATATTGTTAAAATTGCCTATAACCTTGAAGTCTATTGTGATACTCCTATGTGCTAAAGCTAGAATTCAGTAATAAAAAATGCTTATCCTTTTATGACCTTTAGAATCCATACCTCTGGAATAATATTTTCATATTTTCTCTAAAACCTCCTTTTCTAGCATTCTAAGGCATCTTCTGACATTGGTCTTTCTATACACACCAGCTTGTCAAGAGCAGTCTCTTCTTTTACAGCTCTACCACCTCCAGACCCACAAGTGTCTGGCAGCCCAGGGCCGCCCAAGTCAGAAGGGAGGCCTAGTAGTGCTTAAGGCATGTGACTACAGTGACCCAAATCAGGTGAGTCAGGCCTCTGGGCTCTCAGCCAGTCCATGGACAGTGTCCTTCAGTGAAGGAAAGGGAAGCTGCTGGCAGTCAGCCTGGAGGAGGGAGGGGCAGACATCAAGATTTTAATCGGACTTTTTAAAAATTACATTGTTTTGGGGTTTTTTGTGTTTTAAAATTTATTTTAATGAGGCATAGTTGATCTACAATGTTGTGTTAATTTCTGCTGTACAGCAAAGTGATTCAGTTATACATATATATATATTCTTTTCCATTATGGTTTATCACAGGGTATTGAATATCGTTCCCTGTGCTATACAGTAGGACCTCATTGTTTATCCATTCTATGTATAATCGTTTGCCTCTGCTAATCCCAAGCTCCCAATCCATCCCTCTCCCAACTCCCCTCCCCCTTGGCGACCGCAAGTCTGTTCTCTGTGTCTGTTTCGTAGATAAGTTCATTTGTGTCATATTTGAGATTCCACATATAAGTGGTATCATATGGTATTTGTCTTTCTCTTTCTGACTTCACTTAGTATGATAATCTCTGGGTCCATCCATGTTGCTACAAATGGCATTATTTCATTCTTTTTTATGGCTGAGTAGTATCCCATTATATATATGTGCCACATCTTCTTTATCCATTCATTTGTTGGTGGACATTTAGGTTGATTCCATGTCTTGGCTATTGTGAATAGTGCTGCTATGAACATTGGGGTGCAACGTATCTTTTCAAATTATGGTTTTCTCCGGATATATGCCCAAGAGTCAGATTGCTGGATCATATGGCAGCTCTATTTTAGTTTTTTGAGGAACCTCCATACTGTTTTCCATAGTGGTTGCACCAGTTTACATTCCCACCAGCAATGTAGGAGGGGTTCCCCTTTTCTCCACACTCTCTCCAGCATTTGTTATTTGTAGACTTTTTAATGATAGCAATTCTGACCAGTGTGAGGTGGTACCTCATTGTAGTTTTGATGTGCATTTCTCTTATAAGTAGCAACGTTGAGCATCTTTTCATGTGCCTGTTGGCCATCTGTATGTCTTCTTTGGAGAAATGTCTATTTAGGTCTTGTGCCCATTTTTCGATTGGGTTGTTTCTTTGTTTTGTTGTTGAGTTGTATAAGCTGTTTGTATATTTTGGAAATTAAGCCCTTGTCGGTCACATCATTTGCAAATATTTTCTCCCAGTCTGTAGGCTATCTTTTCGTTTGGCTTACGGTTTCCTTTGCTATACAAAAAGCTTGTAAGTTTGATTAGGTCCCATTTGTTTATTTTTCCGTTTTTTTTTTTTTTTTTTTTTTTTTTTTTTTTTTTTTTTTTTACCTTAGGAGACTGACCTAAGAAAACATTGGTACAATTAATGTCAGAGAATGTTTTTCCTTTGCCTATGTTCTCTTTTAGGAGTTTTATGGTGTCGTGTCTTGTTTTTAGTCTTGTGCATGGTGTGAGGGTGTGTCTAACGTCACTGATTTACATGCGGCTGTCCCAACTTTCCCAGCACCGTTTGCTGAAGTTGTTTACGCTGGGAATGATTTTAGAGATTTTAGGGATCATCTACCTAATACTGTTGTGGCCTCCTTTGTACATTTTCCCTACCTCTCGTCATTGTTTGTCATAGTAATATTTTGTTTGTTTAGAGCATTATTTGTACTTTGCAGTTACACAGAATGAATTTGAGTTATATAGAATTGAAAGCTATATGAATTTGTTAGAAATGGCAAAGGATGTGCATCTTCTTTCTGGCCCAGAACATTAAATCTGCATTGGAGGAATCAGAATATCTTTTGTAGAGTTTTCTGTGAAATTGAGTTTTCCTAACTGATTTTTAGTAGTTCATCAGAGGAAACAGCACAATTTCAATTCATGTCATTCACATAATTCGTTCTCAACTTATGTGTCCTTTCAGCGATACTAAGTGAACCTAAAAATAAGCAGAAAACAGTGCAAACTGCTTTGTATCTGATAAAATCGCATAACTAACATGGGTCTAATCTCCTGGTTGTAGTGCCTCAAGATTGCAATGCTCTAAACATGTCGTAACTAAGCAAGTGCTTCATTTACTTACGTTTCCATTTGAGCGGTGGATGGGGTCATTCAAGAATGAAAAGAACACTTGGGCCCTTTTTGGATAGAGTGTGTCCTTTGACATTTCATAGATCACATCTTATTTCTAGGAGAGTTCACGCACACTATCTAAGGTGTTAACATACTGGAAAACATGGTTTAAAGAGGGTTTTGTGCCACATCTGGGTGCGAGAGGTGTCAGTGTTGTAGACATGGAAGTGTTAAATTGTAGTGAGGTTTTGGTGGTTTAGGTTGTAGTAGGATGAGATTGGTGAAATTTGTTCCAGAAACTGTAAGAGGTTTGAGGAGATGGAGTTACACTCTCCTGTCTGTACTATGTTGTGACTGCACGGAATTGCACTTACACCCTAGCCACATGTGGCTGTTGAATTGGTAATTTTATTTCGTTTTAGTTAGTTTAAATTTCATTTCCTCAGTCACACCTGACACACTCCCAGTGCTCAGGAGCCACGTGTGGACCGGTGGCTCCTTTGTTAGACGACACAGATTATAAAACATCAGCATCTATGTTTTACTGGTGTTCTGTCATGGCGCTGATGGGGAGCCTTCTCTTCGTACCAACAGAGGCAGCAGCACACATACGTTTTGGGCCTGTAGGCAGAAGCAGTCATGAATACAATGGTTCAGAGGACACAGGACAGAACGTTCGCAACTTAGTGACAGTGCATGTGGGAGAAAAAATTTATTCATTGCACTTGGCCATTTCCGCCAGTTTCAGGCCTTTGTTCTTGACAATAATCTGAGACACACCATAAAGACAACTATCCTCAAAGATCATTTGCACATCTAAGGAGAATCCTGCTTTGGGGCCATCAATGAAATTGTAATCTCAGTGCAAATGTTCTTATGAGCCGGGAATAGAGTATAACTATTCCACAGGATGATGGGATATGACAGCTTAGGCACATCATCACTGCCCAACAGATGAGGGAAATATGAAAATCATAGCCTCATGTGTTTTCTTTGTACAGAAGGCAAGCCAGCCGCTTCACTGGGCTCCTTCAGTTCTACACAGTGTGAGAATTAACAACATTGTGTAACTGTGAAATCCTGGAATTGGGGAAGATCTACAATCTTGTGCTCAATTAAATAGTCAATTAAGTTAATTCAACCACTGCTTACATTTCTTCCTGGAATTGCACCTCACTTTCTCCTGTGTTAATTCACTCCATTTTCAGATAACTAAGCTGGTCTGTTCCTGCTGTAAGAGACCATACAAAATAAATCCATTCTTCCACAAATGTGTGAAGTGTTGTGCAAGTCTGCATTTCAGAATCTGAAGCAAAACTTGAGGTTTTGATCTTTTATTTTCTTCCTTAGATTTGGATTTATAATGAAGAGCACGAATTGGTTTTAAGTAATCTCCTTTGCCTGGATATGTCAGAAACTCGCTCATCAGACCCCCCACGACTCATGAAGTGCCATGGGTCAGGAGGATCCCAGCAGTGGACCTTTGGGGTGAGGAGACAGACGAGGCTGAGGGAGGGAGCATGGCAGAGGGACTCATATCCTGCTTACCTTGTAGAAGGTTGTTCTGAGTTTGTAGCATCCCATAAATAATCTGAAATGTTCCATGTCTCTTCTAGATTACTGTCTCTTCTTTACCATATTCTGGCAATAAGTTTTTTAACTTAAAGCAAGTAACTGGTGGTATGTTTTTCTTGCCACCGCTTTATTTTCAGAGGAATAATCGGCTGTACCAGGTGTCAGTTGGACAGTGCCTGAGAGTGGTCGATCCACTGAGTCACAGAGGCTTTGTCGCCATGGCCATCTGTGATGGCTCCTCCTCACAGCAGTGGCATTTGGAAGGTTAGGGTGGATGCTGTGGCTGGAACGGTGATTTGTCCTGCTTGTCCTCAACATGGAGACGCCTGGGACACTAGCAGAGGTGAGACAGCAGCCACAGTAGAGGTCGCAGCCCCGAGTGACCACGGGAGGTGAAGAAGTCTGGTTCACCAAGAGGTTCAGGTCATTTGTCAACTGCTGTTAAGGAATTTCTTACGGTAGGAAACTAGAATGCAGTTTTAACTCTCTAAAGAGTTGGGTTTGTATAGAAGGATAAAGCCCAGGAAATTGACATGTCTATTCAAATTTATTTATGCTTCCTTTTAATCCCCTTAAATAATGGAGTGGCATTTATCTGATCAGGAACTTGTCATGATTTCCTTTCTTAGAAGATTTTGTAGATGACAGTTTTTTTAAAATTTCTAATGCTATGTTCTAAATAGTTTTAAATAAACTGATTGAATCCACATTATGTTTAACTTCAGAAGGCATCATTTATAAGATTATATTTAAGAGTTAACTATTATAAATTATTTTGATGAATTATGGTACTATATACATTTACAATAAAGGATCCTTTTAATAATCTAGGATTTTTTGTCTTCTCTTTCATTTTGTATTGGGGTCTCTGGTCTGAGTTATCCTATGTATGTGATACATGGTAAGAAATGCACAGGGATTTGGCTGATGAACCAATAATAGGTAGGTAGCAGCCCTAAACTTAGGGATGTTTGTTTCTTAGCTTGAACTGTGTGAGTCTGAAGCTGAAGTTATGTGAATTTGAATAAAGTTACCTGTGAAACACCCGGGTAGAGCTGTTAAATAGGTGTTAAAGTTATTTGGATATAGAGATCAGGATTTCAGAAGATACATTTCAGTTAGAGAAACAAATTTAGGAATCATCTGTATATACTGTAAATGTCCTAATATAAAGTGAGTTTTTTCCCCACCAAAATTACATCTCAGAGGAGACATAGTCTCATAGGGTATTTTCTCAGTTATTTTATCTGGACACACAAAGCAGTTTAAGTACCAATTTGAAACATGCTGGAGAATGATATATTGTTCGTTATTTATAGTAAACATTTTGTCTGTCATTTAACTTTAAAGACCAGATGGTGGTACATATAGGATACAAAAAGCAAGATGACAGATTTAAATATGACAAAATCACATAAAATGTAAATGGGTGCAGTTGACCCTAACTTGTGTCCGCACAGCCTCACCAAGTGTTGTCAGATGACCTGCGTGAGGGCCCTCAACTCTTGGAGATTGGCCAGGATGGCCAAGTAGAAAGACACTGAACTCACCTGCTCTAATGGGCACACCAAAATTACAACTATGTGCAGAACCACCATTGATGATAAAGACCAGGACTTACCAACCAGAAAAGAGCTACTACAACCACACAACGGGACAGGTAGGAGAGATGGAGTCGCCATGGTAGTCAAGTCCCATACCCCGGGTGTGTGACCCACAAACGGGAGAATAACTAACTACAGTTGTAAAGGTCCTACGAAAGGAGTGTGAAGGGTCCAAACCTCACGTTGAGCTCCCCAGCCCGGGGGGGGGTCTCACACTGGGAAGACAAGCTCCAAGAGAGTAGTTGGCTTAAAGGCCAGGGGGGACACAGCCCCACTCACCAACAGACAGGCTGCCTTAAGACCCCCTGTGCTTCTGGCTGCCCCTGGACATGGCCCTGCCCACCAGAGGGCCCAGGACTTGGCCCCAACACCAGTGTGCAGGCACTAGACCCAGGACCCCCAGGAGCCTCCAGTCAAAGACCCTGGGCCCCAGTGCCTCCTGTCAACAGGCCTGCTCTAGCCTCAGAACCAGCCTCATCCACCAGCCAAGAAGAAAGAAAACCAAAGCCCTGCAGCCTGCAGACCCAGTCCACCTACTAGCAGGTTAGATCCTGACCTGGGACTAGCTGGGCCCTGGCCCTGCCCACTAGCAGGCCAACATAAGTTTCAGGACATCCTGGACCCTGCAGCCAACTGTCAGGAACTGGCCCTACCCATTAGCAATCTGATACCAGCTTTGGGACTCCTGGGCCCTGGAACCAGACTTCAGGACCTTGCTCTGTCCACCAGTAGGCTGGCACTAACCCCAGGGCCTGGCTTCACCCACTTGTGGGCAGGGAGCAGCCCCAGGGGGTCTGCAGCCAGACACCTCGTGACTCAGCCCTGTTAACGAGCAGCCTCTGCACAAGGCAGGGCCAAGCCTACTAGACTGCCCACAGTAGTCAGCCCACCACAACAGAAGGACCCACACAGCCCTCATAGGGGGAAGCCCTAAGGAATACAGCGCTGGTGAGGAGAGGGGCGTGTGCTGCTCGCATAGGATATCTCCTACAAAAGGCTCCTTCACCAAGACTGGGAGATGTAACCAACCTACAAGATACATACAAATAGGACATTAGGCAAAAGGAGGTGACAGAGGAACATGTTCCCAACAGAGCACCAAGAAGAACTAAGTGACGTGGAGACAGGTGACCTACCCAAAAAGAGCTGAGGGTAGTGGTCGTAAAGATGATCAAGGAGCTTGGAGAAGAATGGGTGCCCAGAGCAAGAAGCTAGAAGCTTTTAACAAGGAGGAAATATAAAGAGGAATTCAATGACTGAAGTGCAAAGTGCACTAGAAGGAATCAATAGTAGACTGAATGGGGCTGCCCTGGGGGCGCAGTGGTTGGGAGTCGAGTCCACCTGCCAATGCAGGGACGCGGGTTCGTGCCCCGGTCTGGGAAGATCCCACATGCCGCGGAGCGGCTGGGCCCGTGAGCCATGGCCGCTGAGCCTGCACGTCCGGAGCCTGTGCTCCGCAATGGGAGAGGCCACAATGGTGGGAGGCCCCCGTACCGCAAAAAAAAAAAACAAAAGCAAAAAACAACAACAACGACAACAAAAAATAGACTAAATGATACAGAGGAACAATGAGCTGGAAGACAGTGGTGGAAATCACTGGTGCTGAACAGAAAAAAAGAATGAAAAGAAATGAGGACAGTTTGAGGGACCTCTTGGGCATCAACAAATGCACTAATACATTATAGGGGTTCCAGAAGGAGAAAAGAGAGAGAGGCGCTGAGAACATATTTGAAGACACAATAGCCAAAAACTTGCCTAACTTGGGAAAGGAAACAGATATCTCAGTCCAGGAAGCTCAGAGAATCCCATACAGGATTAACCCAAGGAGGAATACACCAAGACACATTGTAATTGAGATGGCAGAAATTAAAGAGAAAATATTTAAAGCAGCAAGGGAAAAGCAACCAGTTACTTCCAAGGGAACTCCCATAATATCAGCTGAATTTTCAGCAGAAACACTGCAGGCCAGAAGGGAGAGGCATGGTATACTTAAAGTGATAAAAGGGGAAAACCTACAACCAACAATACTCTACCCAACAAGGCTCTCATTCAGATTTGATGGAGAAATCAGAAAGTTTTACAGAGAAGCAGAAGCTGAAAGAGTTCAGCACCACCAAACCAGCTTTACAAGAAATGTTAAAGGAACTTTTCTAAGCGGAAAAGGAAAAGCCACAGCTAGAAACATGAAAATTATGAAACGAAACAGCTCATCAGTGAAGGCAAAGATAAAGGTAGGAAATTATCCATGTACAAAGTTAGGGTTAAAAGACAAAAGTCATAAAATCATTCATATCCACAATAAGCAGTTAAGGAATACACAAAGTAAATAATTAGGTGCAGAATACGACATCAAAAACAGTAATCATGAGGGGAAGGGAGTACAAATGCAGGATTGTTAAAATGTGTTTGAAATGAAGAGATCAGTAACTGAAAACATACATATATACATACATACATACATACATACTCGTATATACACACATCTCATGGTAACAACAAACCAAAAATCTATAATAGATACACAAAAAGGGAAACCAAAAGTAACACTAAAGATAGCCATCAAATCACAAGAGAAAAACAAAAGAAGAAAAAAGACCTACAAAAACAGTATGACAATAAGAACGTACATATTAATGATTACTTTAAATGTAAATGGACTAAATGTTTCAATCAAAAGACACAGAGTGGTTGAATGGATACAAAAACAAGACCTCTACATATGCTGCCTATAAGAGACTAACTTCAGATCTAAGGACACTCACAGACTGAAAGTGAGGGAACGGAAAAATGTATTCATGCAAATGGAAGTCAAAGACAGAGTAGCACTACTTACATCAGACAAAATAGACTTTAAAACAAAGACAAGAGACAAGGAAGGACATTACATAATGATCAAGGGTTCAGTTCAATAAGATGATTTAACAATTGTAAACATATATGCACCCAACATAGGGGCATCTAAATACATAATAGCAAATATTAACAGATGTAAAGGGGAAAATCAACAGTAACACAATAGTAGGGGACTTTAACACCCCACTTATATCAATATACAGATAATCCAAACAAAAATCAATAAGGAAACACTGGCCTTAAATGACAGATCAGATGGACTTAACAGATTTATATAGAACATTCCATCCAGAAGCAGCAGAATACACATTCTTTCTTTCAAGTGCATGTGGGAACTTTCTCCAGGATAGATCACATGCTAGGCCACAAACCAAGCCTTGGTAAATTTAAGAATGAAACCATGTCAGGCATCTTTTCCAACCACAACAGTATGAGTCTAGAAATCAACTACAAGAAAAGAACCCTGCAAAAAACAAAAACATGTGGAGGCTAAATAATAAACTACTAAATAATCACTGGATCTATGAAAAAAACAAAGAGGAAATTAAAAATACCCAAAGGCAAATGAAAACCCAATGATCCAAAATCTATGGGATGCAGCAAAAGCAGTTCTAAGAAGGAAGTTTATAGCTATACGAGCTTACCCTCGGGAAACGAGAAAAATCTCAAACAACCTAACCTTACACTTAAAGGAAACAGAAAAAGAATAATGAAACCCAACATTAGTAGAAGGAAAGAAAGATCAGAGCAGAAATAAATGAAGTAGAGACTAAAAAAAAAACAGAAAAGATAAATGAAACTAAGGTTGGTTCTTTGAAAAGATAACAAAACTGATAAACCTTTAGCCAGA